AAGTTTGGCCAGTGGGAGCCCCTTTCAAGCTGACTCTTGTTTCCTTTTGATATGCCCCCCCTCCGCTTTTGAGTCCCTCTTTTTTAAAGGTCATATGAAAGAAGTAAACACTGCCTAATCTATTGAGATTCACGAATACTGTTAAGACTTCTATCTCATCCTGGAATTGCCTGACATTAAAGAAAGTATAAGTTGGTTGTGTTTTTTAAGTATTTAGTTTTCGTGAATTATAATCATTTTATCCCTTCATTTTCCCCACCCCTCTCTTTTTTCTGTTAACAGTTGGGCAGAGAGACACTGAAAGTGTGAGTGAGAGAGACTCAGATAAAGAGATGGCCGCCAACTCAGCAGTTGTTCAAGACATCACAAAGGATGGGCCAGAGGAAACACCTGAAATAATTGAGCAGATTCCTTCTTCAGAAAGCAATTTAGAGGAGCTAACACAACCTGCTGAGTCCCAGACTAACGACGTTGGATTTAAAAAGGTGTTTAAGTTTGTTGGCTTTAAATTCACTGTGAAAAAGGATAAGAATGAGAAGTCTGACGGTGTCCGATTACTCACTGTCAGAAAAGATGAAGGCGAAGGGACAGGAGAGTCGGATGGGGCCGGCGACCACCAAGAGCCCAGCCGGGACACTGGAGAAGCAACAGCCAAAGAAAACGAACTGACACAATCTACAGAGAAGCCCGAAGAGACTGGGAAACACGAGCAGAGTGACACAGACGTTTCTCTGCCAGCTGAGTCTGGTCAAGCAGCAGAGGAAGCCAAAGATGGAGAAGAAAAACAAGAAAAAGAACCCACCAAATCTCCAGACTCTCCGACCAGTCCGATGGCCAGTGAAACGGCATCGCCCTTCAAAAAATTCTTCACTCAAGGTTGGGCCGGCTGGCGAAAAAAGACCAGTTTCAGGAAGCCAAAGGAGGATGAGCTAGTAGAAGCTTCAGAGAAGAGAAAGGAACAAGAGCCAGAAAGAGCAGACACAGAAGGAAATGAGAAGAGAGAAGATAGTGCTGAGGAACGGGCCACCTCTGAACAACCACACCCACAGGAGGCCACAGACAGCGCCAGTGATGCCAGAATACCAGCTGAATGTGAACAGGTGGAGCTGCCTTCGGAAGGTCAAGTGCAAGGATTTCCTGAGGAGAAATCTGCCCCTTTAGCATCAGAAGTATTCGATGAAAAAGTAGAGATCGTTGCAGAAGTCCACGTTAGCACCACCGAGAAGAAAACAGAAGAGCAGGAGGGTGAGGTGGAAGAAATAGAACAGCCCTTGCCCACTGAAAAATTGCTTGAAACCAATGCCGAACTTCAGGAAGCGGCACCTGCCGAAGAGCTGGTGAAGACCAAAGCCGTGTGTGCCCCTGGAGGGGACCATCCCCAGCCAGCCGAACCAAGTCCGGACGACAGAGCGTTGTCCACACACCCCGAAGGCATCATGAGTGAGGCGGAAATGCTGTCATCGCAAGAGAGAGTTAAAGTCCAAGGAAGCCCTTTAAAGAAACTGTTCACTAGCACTGGCTTAAAAAAGCTTTCTGGAAAGAAACAGAAAGCGAAAAGAGGAGGAGGAGATGAAGAGTCAGGAGAACACCAGCAAGTCGCAGCAGAATCTCCGGATAGTACAGACGAGCAGAAGGGCGAGAGCTCGGCTTCATCCCCCGACGAGCCCGAGGAGATCACGTGTCTGGAGAAGGGCATCGCGGATCCGCCCCAGGAGGGCGAGGGCGAGGAAGGGAGCACCTCTGATGGGGAAAAGAAGAGAGAGGGGATCACTCCCTGGGCGTCTTTCAAAAAGATGGTGACGCCCAAGAAGCGCGTTAGGAGGCTCTCCGAAAGTGACAAAGAAGACGAGTTGGAAAAGGTGAAGAGCGCCACCTTGTCATCCACGGAGAGCGCAGCCTCCGAAATGCAAGAGGATGGAAGAGGCCACGGGGAGGAGCAGAAGCCCGAAGAACCGAAGCGCAAGGTCGACACTTCAGTGTCTTGGGAAGCTTTAATTTGCGTGGGATCCTCCAAGAAAAGAGCAAGGAAAGCATCATCTTCCGATGAGGAAGGGGCGCCGAAACCGACGGGCGGAGAAGGCCAAAAACCAGACGAAGCGGGAAAGGACAGAGAAGCGGGCCCGGATGCCCCGCTCGCGAGTTCCCAGGAGCATGATCAAGCGCAGGGAAGCTCCTCGCCCGAGCAGGCGGGGAGCCCCTCCGAAGGGGAGGGCGTTTCCACCTGGGAGTCGTTCAAAAGATTAGTCACTGCACGAAAAAAATCGAAGTCAAAACTGGAAGAGAAAAACGAAGACTCTGGAGCCGGAACCGGTGTAGAACATTCAGCTTCTGAGGTCGAACCTGGGAAAGAAGAGTCTTGGGTTTCAATTAAGAAGTTTATTCCCGGGCGAAGGAAGAAAAGGTCAGATGGGAAACAAGAGCAGACCGCCATCGAAGATACGGGGCCAGCAGAGGCCACCGAAGATGATGCCGACGTCCCAGCCGTAATCCCTCTGTCTGAGTACGACGCAGTGGAAAGGGAGAAAATGGAAGCACAGGAAGCCAGAAAAAGTGAGGAGAGGCCTGAACGACAGGTAGCGGTTTACGTCTCAGAGGAAGTCAGTAAGAGTCTGGTTCACAGACTGGTTGTGGCTGACATTGACGGAGCGAGGGCCGTGACCAGTATCGAAGAAAGGTCGCCTTCTTGGATATCTGCTTCGGTGACAGAACCTCTCGAACAAGAAGTCGACGAAGCCAAACCACCAGCCGGGCAGGTGTTTGAAAGAGAAGGCATCGCAGAGGAAACTCCCATCGTTACCAAAACTCTGCCCCAGAGCCAAGATGCCGGTGATGACACGATCATTAGTGAGGTGGAATTAACTTCTGAAGCTGTGACCGCTGCAGAGACCACCGAGGCATTTTGTGCTGAAGAAGCAACCGAAGCCTCCGGTGCCGAAGAGACCACCGACATGGTTTCGGCTGTTTCCCAGTTAACCGACTCTCCGGACACCACAGAGGAAGCAACACCAGTTCAGGAGGTGGAAGATGTGCCAGACATGGAAGACCAGCGGAGGCGAACTCAAGAGGTCCTGCAGGCGGTCGCAGAAAAAGTCAGAGGAGACTCACAGCTGCCTGACACCAGAGGGCCAGAAGACACCATTCAGACAATGCAGAAGGCAGGATCGAAAAAGCTGGAGAAGGTGGAAGAGGCGGAAGAGGATTCTCCAGTGCTGGATCTCAAGCAGGAGACGGATGTAGTGTTGAAAGTACAGGTAGAAGAAACTAAAGCTGAGGATTTGACACAAGGGAAGGTAATCGTTCGGGCCACCCCAGAGCACGCTGCAGACGTTCCTCAAGTCACAGAGAGTGTAGAGTCCAGTGAGCTTACGGCCGCTTGTCAACCTGAAACCTTGGTTGGGGTAAAGTCAGAGATTATACTGCAACACGCTGTTGCCCCTGACTCGGCTGAAACACTTACAGACAGTGAGACCAACGGAAGCACCCCGGTGGCAGATTTTGAAGCTCTCCATATAACACAGCAAGACAAGATCACGGAAATCCACAAAGATAAGGAGGCTGCATCTGTTACACAGTCACAGGTCACAGCAGCAGAGGCAGTTCCTGCGCCTAAAGAGATGCCTCCAGCACCTTCTGGTTTTCAATCCCAGGAAGACCGTGGAGAACATTCAAAATTGGAAGAGGCTCTAGACCATACAGATAAAGAGGTATCCGTGGAAACGATACTCATTCTTTCAAAGACTGAGGTGATTCAAGGGGCTGGCCAGTTTGCAGATGAGGATACCAAAGACGTACCATCTGTTGAAGGGCCTGAGGTGTCTGCAGACACAGAAATGACAGTCGATGAGAAAGAGATCATTGAAGTTGCCCTGAAAGATGAAGCTACTCCAGAAGCTGAATTTCAAAAGAATGGTTTTAAGCTCCAGAGTCCTGCTCAGTCTCTCCCAACCCCACTGGAGAGAGAGATGGTAGTTCAAGCAGAAAGGCAGGACGTGGAAGCAAAGCTAACCCGAGTGAGTGAAGAGAAACTTGAGCAAACACCAGCCGAAGAGCTCGCTAAACCACCAGCTCAGACTACCCACGTGACCGTCGCAGACGGGGGAAAGGGAGCTACCAGTTTTGAAGAAAGTTCTCGGTTAGTTCAAGAGGAAGTAGTATGCACAGAAATTCAAGTTCAAAGCTCCGAGGCATCATTGCCTCTAACAGCGGTGGCAGTGGAAGAGAACATCTCAGGAGAAACTGTCAAGATTTTAGAAACAGCTGGAACTTTGGAGTCTGCAGATGCACATTTCGTACTGGAAGAGAAATCAGTAAAAGATGAAGCCTTTCCTGCTCAGCTGGGGGAAGATGCAGTGCCTGTGGGGACTGAGTCTCAGGCAGAATCATCACCAGTAATGGTATCTGCTACCCCTGAGAAAGGCACCAGTGCTGACCTGGAACAAGATCAAACCACATCACAGAAAGAGAAGTCAGAGGAAGAAGGTGAGCAGGTTAGTCGTCGGGAAGTCAGAGTGACAGAAACAGGAGAGGAAGATTTAAAGGCTGAAAATGAGATTCTGAAACTTCAGACTGAGAGCTGTAAACTTGTACAGAACGTCATTCAGACAGCCGTTGACCAGTTAGTAAGTGTAGAAGAAACAGCCACTGACGGCCGGACACCGGCCCAACTGATGAAAGCTGACAACCAGGAAGCCGGGCAGGAAGTTGAAAAAGAAGAAAGGGAATTTCAGGCCTCTGTAGAGGATGAAACACTAATTACCACTGGAGCCAAAGAGGAGTCCGCACTCGCCACCGTGGAACAGACACACTCAGATCTTTCCAGAGACGTGAACGGAGCTTCAGAAGAGATCACCACCCGTGAGGCCAAGAGTTCCGGTGTAAGTGACCAGCAGCTTGAAGAGGGAATCCTCCCAGCCCCGGAGAAGAGAGAAGCGACCGGAACAAAATCTGTGCTGGAAGACGATCGTGCTGGGTTGGGAGAAAGAATAGGGAAGTCGCTGTCTGAATCCCAGGAAGATGAAAAAGGTGATGATTACTTTGCAAATCAAACTTCAGCCCTGGAAGATGCTGAGGCCTTGGGAGGCCTAACCAAAGAGTCCCCAGATGCAAATGGACCAAAACTACAAGAGAAAGAAATCGAATTTCATGAAGTAGAAGAGCATAGCGAGTCAGAAAAAGAGATCAAAACACAAACACAGGAGGAGGCACAGAAACAAGGGAGAGAACCAGAAACATCAGAACTTACAGAATCCTAAAACATCGTGTAAGTAAGCTTCCATTTCTTCTTAAATTTTCCCTGTAAGTACTTGAGATCTTGCTCCCTGACATATGTCATCAATTTGGCTAGAATAGACTTTGAAAAAACTCAAATACATAAAATAATTTTTTTCCTCTTTAATGCCATTTGATGGCAAATTGGTTATAAGAGAAGTAGTTAAATAATTGTGGTTTTATGCAGAATATTTGATTGGAGAAGTAACTATCAATTGAACTTAGGAGATCTGGGTTAGTTTTTTTTTTTTTCTCATTGAAATACCATTCAGTCTTATTGGTATCATGGGAATAATGATTTCATTTTACCCCCAATGCGACTGCTTTCAAAGAAAATAAAGGAGCATGTGTGTGCACACAAGTGTGTATTTGTGTGTGCGTTTGGCCAAAGACTTGAGAAATAACACTGTGCTCACTCAGCCCCATACCAACTACTCTTGAATTTTTAAAAAAATAACTAGACGCCCAAAGTAGGTTTATATTACAGTGCTTGAAATTTAGTTTATAGCTCTGTAGAAAATAAATGGATTTTCCCCCAGCAGTATTCACAAATGTTAAAAAATTCCATCCAGTGCCTGTGATGAACTTGACTGTTGGTATTAGGGAGCCGCTGACGTAGGATTGAGGTCACCGAGCATACTGTTAGGGCCCCTCACTCTCTTTCTTACAGAATTAAACTGTGGTGTTGGGGCTCTGGTGGCCGCGGCTCACCTTCACAGCTCTTCTGTTGTTATATAAATGAGGGAGGAAACGATTTTTACTTTTTGTTCTTTATTCTCCAGTTACACTCGTGTATTTGCAAGACCGGAATGTGAAGCCAAGAAGTAGAAGAAAATGCTGCTGATGAGACTCAAGACCAACGTTTGAGAACTTTGAGAAGCGAAGAACAGGCACATCAATGGATCTCATTTCGAGAGAACGCCGACAATCCTGAGGCTTCGTCAGGAGCTATGACCACCTAACGTTTCCTCTTTTCAAGACCACCCTGTCGTTTTTCCCTTAATACCATATAATGTTTCTCATTTAAGGTTCTAAATTCCTAACCTGGTACTGGAATTGGCAATACCTAGTTCAACTTCTCAAACTGGATATCGTTTTTTATGTATTTATGTGTATGTTTTAAGTAATCTTCCTCCTGTATCTATTGTATATTTTTTTCTTAATGTTTAAGGAAATGCGCAGTATAGAACATTTCTTTTGTATCACACATTATATGACGGGGCACGTAGCCATGGTGGAGCCTTGGGAAGCTTTAAGCCTCCGTTATAACCTGTGAAAACAGAGCTTCCTAGAAATAACATTCCGGATCAGAAACTACAATCCTTATTTTAAAATTCACTAGGAATTAGGTCCATGTTTAGTATCACTCCAAAACTGGTCACTTTCCTATTACGCACAGTGTGCTAAAAATAAAAAACGCGCTTTTTTTTTTTGGAAACATACAGAATGTTCCATAGTTACTGTGATAGTTTTCTTTCTAGCCCAGTGGTGGAGGTTCGAAGGAAGTGTTTTCAGTAGCGGATTAACTTTAAGTTTTTTCCTCCTAATCGTTATGGTTGTTTGGACAGATGAGTATGCTTAATCCTGAGGCAAAGTAGTTAAATGTTTTTCATACTCTCAAGAAAAGAACTGACTTTTAAGTTTTTGATCCTATTCTTACATGCTGCACCACATTCACACACAGCGTGAAGTAAGTCAGGTTCTTTACAAATGGTATTTTGATAGATGCTGGATTTCGTCGGTGCCATACTTGTGCCCACTCTTTTAAGAATAATGTTGCATTATGTTCATATGGATAAATTGTGATTTGACAACCGGTTTAAATAAAATATTTGCTTCACTTAGATTTGCTGGTTTTATTAGATACTAGGAAGCCTGGGACATATGTTTACTGCATTCTAAAAGCAGAATAACATGGAACTGTTATGTAGTCGCTGTCTGATGTCACCACTTTATACCTGTTTGAGTGTAAGAGGAAGTCATAGCAGAGAGGTATCTGTCAGAATAAACCAGGAGCTTTTCAGGTTGACGGTATTGATACAATGCTACCATCTTGTGGTGTCTTCCTGAAAAGGTCAATTTTCTGTGTTAATATTTGTTAATGACTAATGTTTCTAGAAAGAAATTTTAAGAAGACTTAACAGGAAAAATGCCTTGCCTAACAAGTGATCTTGGAATTTTTTTTAATGTTAAAATGATTTATGATTCTTGCTAATACGTAAATGATTCAAACAGTTGCCACGCAAAGCACAGTCACCTATCTACCATAAAATTCCACTTTTTTACATGTAGAACTGACCTGGCATATATACTTCCTAAACTTTACTCAAACTCATCACTCCAGTTTGAGAACTTAATTTTGACTGCTGGTTACTGATTTTAAAACATAACATTCTAGAAAGACTAGAATAGTCTTATAGCAGAAAGGTAATTTTCTGTTAAAACTGGAAAGTAGTTTCTCTTACACCCACAAATCTGACTACAATAAAAAATTGGCTACAGTAGAAAGACACCTCATAATAGTGTACGTACGGCCTTGTGGTTGGAAAACATTTAATATCCTTTTAGGAGTTACTCTCAAATATAACCACCTGTGATTAATTAGTAAACTTTAAAATCCCCAAATTAAAAAAAAAAAAAAACAAAAAAAACCCCTATGATCTAAATAGCTTTCTTTTGCCAACTTGAGACTTAAAAGTGCTGGTGTCAATTTTTGGAGATGACAGCAATTTGTAAGGAGTTTATGATAGTGCCAAATATTGACTTAACTTACTTTTCCATTGACTTCCTCTATGCAGGAGAAACTTTGTGCTATTTTGCACAGATGAAAGATTTGTGTAGTTTGTGGTAAACAGATTTTTGGTTTAAATTCCATCCTGCTACGTCATCCCATTTGTATTGACGTGATCAGGTCATCACAATTGGTCTTATGGTGGTAGTTGCTTCATGACTGATTTTCATACTAATATCTGGATGTGCCCTGGATTATTTCTGTACAAGCTCTGTACCTGTGTCCATTAAGCAACATTGTTTTATTAAGAAGAGGAATGCAATTAACAGGAGCATGAACTATAATTCTGTATTATAATACTCAAGCTGCCGTTAATTTAGGAAATTCGTAACCAAGTGTAAACTGCAGAAATTGGAGCAAGTGCCTAAATTTTGCTATTTTTGGCATTACTGTGGAACCATGTACAATAGAAAGCAATGCAAGATTTGTAAACTCTTACCACTTGTAATCGAGGCCTATTAAATGTTCCCCTTCGGGTTATTTTGCTAATGGTACAGGAGTTGCCTCTGTCTACACATATACGTTGTTCCAGAAATTTCCTTTGATATTTGGAACTACAGATGGTCAAGGGCTGAAATTTTTAGCTTTCAGTGTAAGCTTCAAGCCTAGCAGTTTTCTTTAATCTGAGACTATTTGATTCCTAGTTCTGTTTGGAGGCAAATTTTCATTTATCTAAATAAAATGCAACCTAATTAAATGCCATGGATTTTCTTTCTGTAATTTCACCTTAATTCTGTTTCTATTCCTTTTCTCTTTACTGCGGTGATATTCGTCGCACATTTAACTTCTGCTTTTAACTATTTAGCCATCCTTTGCGACACTGTCCACAGAGCATCGTGGGAGTTTGGAATGTATGGGATATGTATAAATACTCAAAAGTCTCATCGGTGATTCTTAACTCTTTTGGTCAGGGGCCCCTTTAATAGGAATCTTATTAAACCTCTGGATGACCTCCCAACTCCCCTAAATGAACAGTTTTATTTACAGTTTTTGGATAGTCACACACCTATTCTGCAATCCCAACCAACAACCCAAACTGGAGTTAGAAACACCTTATCCAACTCTGCCTGAAAGGAAATCAACACAGTCCAAGGATTCCAGGTAGTAAGAGGCTGGAACCTGAACCAAACCAATGCCAGTTAACTTCAAGGTTACACGATGATTCATTTCCGGTGTGATTCTGGAAATGGATCTGCCGGACAGCCTGGCACAGTCTCTGTGTAAATGTAAGTTTCTCCTCCGCCAATTCCGTACCATCTCCCGCCTAGACCACCGGAACTAGGGGAATGAACTGGGGCCTACTTTTACATATGAGGAAGTTGAGACTTAGATCACCAGCTTTTAAGTGATATAACAGGGTTTGGCTAAGGTGACCAGGGCTTGGGGATGGCATGGTGGTGAAGATAACCATGATTTTTTCTTTAATGCTGTCACAGTTTAGAAATCAACCCCCCCCCTTTTTTTTGATATGTAAATATTACTGACACCCTCTCAGTGTTCCACTCTGCAATTTCATGACATTGCTTACTTTTCCATTGCTTGTTGACGTTAAATTTTTTTACACCAGAGGGGAAGTATTAACATCTAACTTCTCAAAAGAAGCTTCACTATCACACTCGTCTGGGGAGACCAGAGGTAGAGTACCATTTTCTAAATGATGGAATTAGACCCCAAGGTGGTTTTTTTTTTTTCCCCACAACAGGATATTGAGTACTAAAGCCTGGCTCTGACTCAACCCTGTGCTTTTTCTTCTGTTTGTTCTCATCAAATAACTTGGTAAAATTAATGAGCACAGAGGAAATACTATCAATTAGGCTAACGTAGAAACCACATTGTGTTTGCTCGCTCTTATTTCTGTTAGTCTTATGAGCTCACCTGATTCCTGGAAAAGCAGGTGGGTTGCCTCTAGAACTTGAAACCTGAACACAATTTGGGTTCTTTTTAAAGACTTTACAGAAGTAATACTGCAGAGCTGGCCATTTTAAGGAATGAAATTAATCCTGAAATTATTAAAATGGTTTAGCAGGGAAGTGGTGCTATCTATCCTAAGCTTGTGATTCCCAAGACAGTGTTGGGGGTTGGGACACTGCCTCACTCTAATCCCCTGCAGAGGTTTGGTTATCACAATGGCTAGGGTGTTAATAGAATTTAATGAGGGCCACAGATGCTTGTGATTCCGCAAGGCCCAGGATAGCCCTTCCTAAGGAAGGATTTTCTCCCTTAAAAGCCAGTACACCTAGAGAACTGCTTCCAACTTCCAGAGAATTAAAGACTGGAGATTGAGAAGAGACTAGCTAATACGTTCTAATAATACAGGTAAGAGCTGATAATGGCCTGTATTAAAGTAGTGGCAGTTTGGCTGCAGAGATGTAGGTGAGATCAGGTGACGTTAGGAGGTAGAATCAACAAGACAGGATACCTGATTATCTGTCATGAGAACAGTGCAGGGTGAGTTTCTGGATTGCCAACCTGGATATGGAGCCATGGGCTGGGGAGATATTAGTTTTGGAAATGTTCAATTTGAGAGGCTTATGACCTCTCCTAGGGTCAATGCAGAATGGGGAGCTGGATATATGGGTTTTACAAACAGCAAAACTTTCAGGACAGAGAGACATCAGCGGCTCTTCTGTGTTCCTAACGTCCTTAGAGACACAGAAAGGAAAATAACCTGTACAGGATCTTTGCAACATTTCTTAAAATCTCATGCACAGACTTTGGTGATTAGGAAAGATGAGGCTTTAGGTTTACTTACCCTGTCACAGCAGCTTCCTCATTTCAGAATTATAACTAAATACTTCACCAGATTTTTTCTGTTGTGAAAGTGTTTTATAAACTAGAATGCAAAATGCACCGTAATGCATTAATATTAGTAATTAGAAGAGAAGGAGAAATTTTAATAAAATTGTCCACCAGAAGCAATGTTGTGACTGCTGATGACTGTTATGTCCTTGAATATCTTGATGGATTCGGAATGACATTTAGCTTCCTAAAATTTCATAAATACACACCTTATTCAGAAGTACTCTTTTTTTTTAAGAGAGGAAACGTGCACTTCATGTCATTTGCATTTCTTTTCTCTCCTCCTCTCCCTGTTACCCTTCCGGCATTTGTGCCCTGTTCCCCAGGGACATCCAAGGGGTGGAGGATTCTGGTTGGGCGGGGCCCACCTGCAGTCTCTTCTGTCACTCCCAAGGCCCCCAGACCTTGGATCAGTCAGGCTCCCGATTCTCTCCAGCTGGCTGCTTCTGATCTGTGGCTGCTTCCCGGCATTTCTAACTGAAGAGATAATTCTTTAGTCCATCTTTTTTTCGCTAACAAAAAATTATAAAAATAAATGTAAACAGCTAGGAAGGATTTCCGAGGCAGTGTGATGGTAGCAGGAAGGGTTCTGCACTGGAAAACCTGGGCTCTGCAATCGCCACTGAGTAGCTGTAGGAGCCTGGTCCATGACCCAACACCATTTTGGGTCATCCAGATAAAATCATATATCCATTTGGGGACGGATCCTCCAGACCCGTCCTCTCCTATAGTAAGGAAGACCGTCTAAGTGGCCCCAGAAACCACATAGGGTAGGTATTTGGGGACTTTTCTGTGCTTACAGGTTAACAAGGGCATTTAGAATGCGAACAGGAAGGTTTAGAATAAATCCCAGGGTCTCTCAAACATCTTCTATGGGTTCATGCACCAATCTATGTTGCACATGCCTCATGATGGAGCACCTTGCTTCAAAGAAAAATAAGCTGCTAGAAATGGCACAGATCCCTTTCTAGCCCTTTATTAGCTTCCCCGGTTATTATAATTCTGAGAGGAAAGTAGAACCAAGAAAGGACAGTAATATTACAACGTAATTATATAGCAATGCTGTGGTTCTCAAAATGTGGCTACTGGCAACATCATCATTGGGGAACCTGTTCAAAATGCAAATTCTTGGGCCCACCCTGGACCGACTGCGTCGGACACTCTGGGGGCGGGGCCTGTCGTGTTTTATCAAGCTCTCCAGGGGATTCTGACCGGCTTAAGTTTTAGGACCACTGTAGTAATATAAGGCTATAAAAACAGATTTAAGTTAATTCCCTCAACAGCAGAACAAATAGGTTTACAGTTGAAAAAGCTTTCTCCTCCCTGACCTCCCGCACCCCCGCCCCATCATCCATCCACAGGCCGCTCGCGCATTTGGGAAAATACCATTTGCGTCACGTGGGGATTTGAATCTCGGCTGTCTTTAACCTCAGAAATGTCACTTCTGTGGGCCTCCCTCAGTTTCCTTCGCTGTGAACATGGGACACACGTCCCACGCGGGGGTTGGGAGGAGTAAACGTTAGCACGGAGCACACAGACGCCCAGTGCAGGACCTCGCTTTCCCCACCATTCAGCCCCAGTTGACAACGCATTCTGTACAAGACGCGATCTTCACAACCGCCGGGGACTTGGGCCAGGGCAGGTGTTGTATATTTCCCAGAGAATAGCACAAACTTCATTCAAGAATTTAATAACTCTTTATGTTCAAAAACATTTTGATTTGCTTGAGAGAATGAAACCACAGAATACCATTTCATCCGGGTTCATTTTTTTCACACTAAAGAGTCTGTCTAATTTTTATTTAGAGAGCTATTAACAGTTTAGTTGATATTCTTCCAGTTGAGTTTAAGGAGTTCTTTCTAGAAAAGACAGATTCATCGATCTGTCTTAACAGAATTAACTTTTTACTTTCTTAAAGGTTGCTAAGCCTAAATCTTTCTTGCTTGCAAGTAACGTATAGTGGTAATTTGTTCTAGACAAAAATGGAGGGCTGAAACAAAGGGAAAAAATGCAATTTAAGTATTTTGAGGGTTCTGAAAATTATCATGAAAATGCTAAGTGAACCTGAAGAACAAGTTTCAATTTATTACAATCAGCTACTCTCCCCATACGAAAAATTGTCTTAGAATTCATTCCAAGTGAATTCGTGAAGAGTGCTGCCCCTCCCCCACCAAATTCCCAGCCAAATTGCCGAAGGTACCACACCAACCTCCTCACCCATCCTTCTAAGTGCCATTTCTTTCCACACATAGCAATTCCGTGTTTCACCTGACTGAGGCCTGATCTTTTGAATGAAAGGGTTCATTTCGGATGCTTTGGCTCTTTTCCTTACTTACAAGGTGAAGTTTCAAAAAACAATAGTGGACAGTTCCTATGACTAGCCAGGTGAAGGTTTGGGGTCCACTCTACTCTCCATACTTCTGGCATTATCCAAAGCTGCCTTATTTATTTACATTATTGAAAAATAATTGACAAGTATCTTTAAATGGCAATGCTTTCTTCTCATTAAAGTCATATTCCTTATGGTAAAAGACAATCCTCCAGTACTATACAAAACCTATGTTTTAGCAACATTTGTTGAATGAGTCACTTTTTAATTTCCTCTATGAAAGGAAAAATAATAGAACCAGTGGCATTAATAAGAACTAGTCCAAGAATGCCTGCTCCAATGAATCCTGAAGCTTAGGTGTTCAGGTTACTCGTACCCAACTGAAATTTCCGAAGCTTATTTAAATTGGTACCATTAGAAAGTCAGAATAGTTGAATGTATAACCTCTTGGGGTTAAACATGCGTGGAGCATTCCAGGGTAGCTTGGGTAGGCTTCCTTATCTGTATCCAGCTGTTTTGTGCAGGTCTGTCACAGTGATGGAGGCGGCCACTCGTTGGTGCTGAGAGTCCCTGC